GTTGCCCTCGTCGGGTCTGGTGTCTGGGTCACGGGGGGCCGGCCTGCGGCTCTGTCGCTGGGGGCGAGCCCGGCTGGGGCCTGGCAGCAGCGCGTTCAGCAGTCCTGGCGACTCCCTCTCTGGCCGGTGGGTACTAGCTCCCACTCAGGCTGTGGTCTGCCCCCTCTGAGCAGGCCAGCAGCCTTTTATACCTTGGCTCCCCTTGGAGCATGCCCAGTAGGGCTGTGTGGGTGGGGCCCTCTCCGCCCCCGGCTCCAGGTGGTTTCCCTGGGCTTGAGTGCAGGGCGGGGCCGCCCCATCACAGTCCCAGGAAGCATTGAGGAGGAATAACTTAGAATGGCCCTGGGGAGGGGCTATTTTGAAATAGCAGAAGTGGAGCGTCTACACACCTTATTTTGAAATAGCTATTTTGGAATAGGCGTTATTCCTTGTAGAATGAGGTTTACAGATTTCAAAATAAGCCAGCCCTTATTTCAAAATTATTTTGAAATAACGGAATGGCTGTGTAGACGCTCGCTTTGTTATTTCAAAATAATGGTGCCATGTAGATGTACCCTTAGGGTATGTCTACACAGAACAGTTAATTTGAAATAACAGCCCTTATTTCAAATTAACTTTAATAGCATCTATACAGGCAAACTGCTGTTTCGAAATAAAATTGAAATAGCGGGGCACTTAATTTGAATTAGTTAAATCTCATTCTATGAGGAATAACACCAAATTCGAAATAGCTAAATCGAAATAAGCACTGTGTAGATGCTTATTTCAAAATAGGGGGCCTCCAGCCCTTCCCAGTTTCCCCTGATTGCCACTCTGGGCCAAACCAGGAAAACTCTCCTCTCCCCCAGCCCCAGAACCCTTAAAGGGGTAGACTCTGGCCACACTTAACATGCCAGATCCAGGCCTGCCAGCAGTCGCTGCCCCTGACCCAGTGCCCACAGAATGAGCTGGGCAGCCAGGAAGCCGTAGACAGTGGGCGCCCTCCTGGACTAGTGCAGAGATCATGGACCTCATTGAGGTTTGGGGGCAGGCCTCCAATGTCCATGATCTCCGCACTATGGAGATCAACAAAGGCCACAGGCACACCCAGGAGCAGGTGCGCCTCAAGATAAAAGAGCTGTGGCAGGCGTGTGTGTGAAGAGACCTGACATGCCTCTGACCCCAGGGCGGGACACAGCAGGACACCCTCCCTTCACAAGCCTCCTCTAACATCTCCCCCGCACCTCAGCCACACTATACACAGCACAGGGTTTTGGGTGCAGTCTCAGGGCAGCTCCCACTCCCAGGGATAGCTGGACATTCTGACCATGGCCTCTGTGCAAGCACATCGGCTCTGACGGTGCAGGGCATGGTCATCCTCACCTCGCAGAGGGGGGCTGGGCTTCACCCACTGTGTCCCCAGGGAGAAATTACCACTTCTCTTCTTTCTCCACAGCCACACCTGTTTCGCATGCAGGGTGCACCACCCCGCCTGGGACATCCTCCCACAACCGAGGGCTTAGCAGGTCCACTGTAACACTGCAGGGGTACCAAGACCAGCAGCTGGGAGCCCTGCGAGCCCTGCATCACACCATGGAGCAGTGGGTGAAGGACGAACAGGAGTTCCAGTGGGAGCTGCTTGCCCAGGGTCGTGCCATCTGTGCCCATCAGCAAACCCTGGTGCAGAGTGCGCTGCCTCGTGCTGCTCCAGTGCCTGCTGCCTCCCCAGCTCCCACTCCTCCTCTCACTCCTTCTCCCCATCTCGTCTTTCCCTCCTCCCCCTTCACACTCCCCACCTCAACCTCCACACCCTCCTCCCCATCTGCCCGGGGACACTGAGGCCCCCACACCCACTGTGCTGGGAGACATGTGGCCCGGCGAGAACCCCACCCCTGAGCTCTGAGCTTCCCCTCCCCCTTCTTCCCCCTTCCAGCTCCCTCCTCCCAGTTTTCCCCCTTCCCTCTCCCACACTCTTCTCCCCACTCCCGCCTCCTTTCCCCAGTCTCCCCAGAGTTTCATCCCCCCCCCCCAGTTATGTTAAATAAAGAGATTTTATATTTTTGAAAATACATGTATTTTATTTGACATCAGGAAGAAGGGTTAGGGAGGGGTACATGGAAGGCAGGCAAGCAAGCAGGGACACCTGAGAACCCACTGCCCGGAGAGGGAGGGGCTGTCCCTTTAAGCACAGACTTCAGATAGCCTCAGGCAACAGCCACACAAAGAGGCCGCTTACCTGATTCCCTAACCCTGACCTGGTTCCGGCTAGCCTTAACTCCTAATCAGTGTCCACTCAGTGTGGACGCGTTATATCGAAATAGAAAAATGCTATTTCGAAATGCATTTTGTGTGTAGACGTGTTATTTCGAAATAACATATATCTAATTAACTATTTTGAAATAAGATATTTTGAAATAATGCTGTAGTGTAGACATACCCTTAGAGACTAACAAAACATGTAGATGGTATCATGAACTTTTGTGAGCACAACTCACTACTTCAGCTGAAGTTGTACCCACGAAAGCTCCTACTTCAGCTGAAGTTGTATCCACGAAAGTTGTACCCACAAAACATCCCATCTACATGTTTTGTTAGTCTCTAAGCTGCCGATAGACTATTTGTTGGTTTTAAGTTTCTACGTGTTTCGGTTTAGTTAGGGTGAGATTTGCATTAGGATTCAGTGCTGGCTGAACTCTGCTCCCACTGTTGTCAATATGAATGCTGATAGCTTTTGCAATTTCCTCCCTTAATAATAATTAATAAAATCTGAGGGCAAGAGAGGCAAAAAGGTCATTTTTTCATTGTAGTTGCTATCCAGAAAAGCATGTGTTGACTTCTTACATTTTGCCCATAAGCCTTGACACTTCTCATGGTGCCCCATGAAGTCTTTAAGCCCAAGATATGGAATGCACATTTTATCTGTAAAGTACTCCATCTTCCTCCTCTGCTTTATGTATTGAGTGTCTGGTGTTGTGCCAGATGCCCTTAAAACAAATAAAAAGAGAGCACCGTACCACAGACCATGCCATGTTGGTTTGACATAACCCAACAAATGAGCTGAATAGAGAGGTTAAAAAGAGCGGGGGAAGGCAGAGAGGAAGCAGAGGGTGATGGAGGTCACCAGCAATAAGATCATGTGGTTACTGGGTGAGGATTTCCCACATACTGATGGTTATGTGATGGTTATGTTACTTTTTTTTTTCTTTTTGAGGATCTAACCTTCCCTTTCCTGACGTCTCCTACATGAAAGAGCAGCAAAGATATTTTATGAGTCCATTAAACATAGTGGCTACGTCTACACTGGCATGATTTTCCTGAAATGCTTTTAACGGAAAAGTTTTCCGTTAAAAGCATTTTCGGAAAAGCGCATCTAGATTGGCAGGACGCTTTTCCGCAAAAGCACTTTTGCCATTTTCGCGATCGGGGCTTTTTGGCGGAAAACAAATCTCAGCTGTCTACACTGGCCCTTTTGCGCAAAAGTTTTTCGGAAAATGACTTTTGCCCGAATGGGAGCAGCATAGTATTTCCACAAAAGCACTGACAATCTTACATGAGATCGTCAGTGCTTTTGCGGAAATTCAAGCGGCCAGTGTAGACAGCTGGCAAGTTTTTCCGCAAAAGCAGATGATTTTGTGGAAAAACTTGCCAGTCTAGACACAGCCAGTGAGTGAGTTGGCTTTGCACATAAATTCAGCATTATGGTTAGCATGGAAGAAGATGCAGAGGTATCTCTGTGTTAAAGAGATGAAGGAAGTATTGAGGCTCTGATTATTGGTTGAGCAGGTGGACAGGGAATATACAAATACAAAGATCAAATTAGAAAGATCACTAAATTCTGTCATCACACATACAACCCCATAGAACCCATTCATACCACAGGTGTGGGCAGAATTGGTCATCTATCATAGATATGTTGCCTAGGCTGAACTTTCAAATGATATTTACTTATTCTTTTCTGTAATATTTGTCAATCACAGTTGCTAAATTGGTGCGTGTTATGTTTCATGGAAAAAAATGATAAGGGAGACCATGTGCATGTACATAGTGAGTATGTAACCCATGTACACACACACACACACACACACACACACACCATGTCTTTTTTGGGGGGGAAGGGGGAGTTGTTTGCAAATCAATCTGATTTCTTCAAATATATTAACTCTTTGTATGCAGTCACCAAATAATCCGGGCTAACATTTTTCAGCATAGGTGTTGTCTGCAAACTATTCTTATTGATTATTTGCTAATCATTCTAAACCTATTCTAAACTATATTTGGATTTCTTCCTAAAGGAAGAGCAGTTCACCTTGTTATGGGTCAAATGTAAAGAAACAGTTACACATATGCAATGCACTTGGAAAGTGCATATTTTTCTGTGCCTCCCTCAGAGATACCTATTTTTAACAGCTGTGCAGAGATTGAAAATAGACTGAGGAGCAGGTAGAACTTAGGCCTGACAAGATGGTAGATCCAGATTTAGTATGAACGCACATCCCAGAGGTTTGAAAAAAGTGTGGTAGGCTACCTTAATGCTAGGCAATCTGAAGGCCAGAGGCGTGCCACGATAACTTACTTTTGTTTTGAGAATTACTCTTCTGCACCCATCATTCTTCTCTGAGTCCTAGCAGTCCCCACTGCAATCAAAGCATCAGCTGATTTCTCTTTGCTCTACTGGAACATACCAGGAATGATAAATAAATAAAACCTTGCTAATAAATGTCAGCAGCGTTAACTAGTATCAACCATCTGAACAATAAACTATTAACGTTGAACATTAACCCAGTCAATCGCTGTGTTTACACTTACATGACCCACGGGTGATGCTGTGGTCTGGGAGCCACCTCGGGGTCACATTCCAGATGTCAGAACTCTGCAAGAACAAGCAGGAGAAAGACTGTTTAGACTGTTAGCTCTTTGAGGTAAAGGATAGTTTATGTTCAGTGCCTTGTACAATGCTGAGCCTATAGCTGATGCTTAATAAATAATAAATAAGATCTATTATAGGCCCTTAATGAATTTGTAAGCAGTAGTCTACCTACAGAGGGATAGAAGTGTGGATGAAGTATTTTGAGCTGCCCCTACTTCCATCTCAAAAGAAACATCTGACCTTAGATTTTCTTGATATTTCTAGGTCTGCTCTTGTACACCTATAATGGGGCTTTGGTCCACAAAAATTGGACCTTATATCTGTCACAGGTGAAAAAAAAATGGCTTCTGTGGCTAGTTTATGGAGGCAGTTTTATTTGGAGAGTCATATACATCCACAGATCATCCTGAATGTCCCACTTTGCATTTAGCACTTTGAGCAGAAAGAACAGGTGAATAATAAAATAATTGTTTGGGGGGGGGGGGGGAGAGGAGGATGAAAAATGGCTTTTTTATTAAATCTATTTTTGTGAGAATTTCTGTTTTTGTTGAGGTTTCATTGGTTTTTGTCAAAAACCTAAACAATTATGAGTTTAAAATGTTTTCAAAGATTCAGTTTTTCTTTTTTTGTTGATGAAAATGTAAAAAAGTCAAATTAATTAAAAATAAAATTTTGGTTTTCTTCCAAAGTTTTTGAAGACTATAAAATACACTTTTTCATAAAAAACTTTCATAAAAACTTGTTAACAAAACTAAGCAGCCAGCTGCTTAGTTATTATCTGTCTTCAGAGGCACTGGCATTCTAATAAGGGTATAGATTGTGGAATAAATTTCACTCAAGAAATTTGATCCAGATAATCCTGTTTCAGACAGTTTGACAAACTTGTAGACTATGATAATTCATTTCAGTTTTGACCAAATCCATGTTCCTGTTTCCTAAGGTTAACAAATATGGAAAATGTGGATCTGAAAACTGACATGATTGAGAAGATGACAGAATTATTTTTTTATCAGAATTAAACAGGTGGGATGTTGCCTAAAATACAAAACATTATTTAAAATATCAGTGGTGTGCAGAGTAGAAAGGAGAGTAAAAATGAATCTAGCCCTTTCTGTAATTTTATTAATAAGGCAATGTGCTGATTCTGAAAGTTAGTAACCTTTTCTGATCTCACAAAAGGATCAGTTTCACAGAAAGCAGAAGTAGCTTTTGGGATAAGGAAGTTTGTGCCTGTGACTTAGAATTAAAAATACAAAGAAGAATTTTAGCTTTCATGTTAAAACAAAGTAAATTTGTATCCCTTTTATTTGCAAAGGCAGCTTTTATTTGAAAAGTAAATTAATGTAATCTAATAGTTTATGATGAAGGGACCAGCATCCGGGTAACACTTTTGCAGCCAGAGAGATTTGGAAATGGAGGAATCAAGTGTCCCTTCTTCCATCCTCAGCCCCACTTCTTTCATAAAGATTCCAAGGCCAGAAGGGACCAGTATAACCCTGTAGTCTGACCTCCTGAATAAGACAGGCCATAGGACTCCCCTGGATTAATCCTTGTCTAAACTAGGGCATGTCTTTTAGAAACACGTCCAGGCTTGTTTTAAAAATAGCCAGTGATGAAGAATCTTCCACAACCCTGAGTTAATTGTTCCAGTGGATAATTCCCCTTATTTTTAAAAGTAAGTACCTTCTTTCTAGTCTTGATTTGCCTAGCTTCAACTTCCAGCCCTTGAATAGGGCTGGCTGGAAAACAAGAATTCTGTTTTGTGAAAAAAGTGAGGTTTTGACATTTGTTTTCATTCTACATTGGAACAAAACTCAAACCTTTTAAAATACTTCATGAAAAGCATATATGTGTGTGTATGAGAGAGAGCAAGAGCTGTGCTATTTTGTATAAATAACTAAAACTCATTGGCTAGAATATGAGGGAGAGAGAGACTGTCTCTACAGCTCAGTGATTGGGGCACTCCAAATCAGGCAGAGAAGGGACTCGAGAGACCAAGTGCTCTATGTTTGAGGTCTGGAGAGCTGACAGACTCATCAGGTCCTGGGTAAGGTGGGGGCGGAGCTTGCTCTGCATTCCTGGAAGGGGCAGGACCCTGGCTGGAAGGGGTGGGGCTGGAGCAGTTGGTCCTCAGTGCCGCCCAGACCTCCCCCTCTCCCATTTAAAGGACCTACAGCTCCAGCTGCTGCTGCTGCCAGGAGCCCCAACAGCCTTTGAATTGTGGGGTCCTGGGGCAGGTGTCTCCTCTTCCATCCCCCCCTGCTCCATTGACACGCCTCTCTGAGGTAATTGCTCTTATCAGTGAGGTGTTGGCTATTCTGAGAGTCTCTCTTTTTACCAACAAAATGTAAATGACAATGATATGTATCTGCACAGCCTTACAAATTTTCTATTAGCATTTATTTTCTTCCACCCCCAAAGTTCAGGGGCATTCCAATTCACAGTATTGGGCTTAGACCCAGGGTCTAATGAAATATTTAAAATGGCTCATTTTTCACAACATTCATAGTAGATAAAGCAACATGGATTGATAGGATTCTCCTCCCAATGTGACAGCATTGGCGAGCAGAGGCCTCAGGAAACAGCTATAGAGCCTCTTCCATCTTTGTGCAGGGGATAGCTTCTCTAGAGAGGGGGAAATTTCTGGCCATTCTGGCCAGTTTAGATTTACACAGCACTGCATGAGCAGCACAAAGTGGATTTGGTGGACTAGAGGCCCCTGTGTTTTAAATGCATACTGTAGGACAGGATGCTGTGGCCATGCTGTGGCCATGTTGAGCCAGATTCTGTGTCAGTGGAACTAAACTGATTTACACTAGGTGAGGATATGAGCCTCCGAGGAACTATATTAAACTTGCAGGACTGCAAGTGTAGTCTAAGTTGAAGTAAACATGGCTTGGCATTAACTCCAAATCATATACACAGAGGCTGCATCTAGACTGACAAGTTTTTCCGCAAAAGCAACTGCCAGCTGTCTACACTGGCCGCTTGAATTTCCACAAGAACACTGACGATCTCATGTCAGTGTTCTTGCGGAAATGCTATGCTGCTCCCGTTCGGACAAAAGCCCTCTTGCGCAAATGCTTTTGCGCAAGAGGGCCAGTGTAGACAACGCGGTATTGTTTTGCGCAAAAAAGCCCTGATCGCAAAAATAGCAATCGGGGCTTTCTTGTGCAAAACCGCGTCTACATTGGCACGGACGCTTTTCTGCAAAAAGTGCTTTTGCGGAAAAGCGTCTGTGCCAATCTAGATGCTCTTTTCCGCAAATGCTTTTAATGGAAAAACTTTTCCGTTAAAAGCATTTGCGGAAAATCATGCCAGTCTAGACGTAGCCATATAGGCAGGGAAGTCAGGGTGTGGGGGCTGCTGCAGCACTCCTTCCCAAATTTTGTACTCTGTTCTGGGGTCCTGGCCACCAACCCTTTGTCTGGGGGCCTCACTGCTTCCTGGAGTCCCAGGTGCCAGTTTCAGGGGGTCCTGGTTGCTGACCCCGTAGGCTCTGCTGCTGCCCCGGGGGCCAATCATCAGCCCGACACCCAGGGCTCCATAGCTGTAGCCCCAGTCTGGGACGGTGAAGGGCACAGACACAGTAAGGTGGAGAAGAGGGGGCACCTCAGGACCCCTATCCTAAAAATTGTTCCAGTGCCATTGTACCCACCTGGACCTAATTGCAAGATTCAGGCCTGACCTACTAGTCTACACTACCCCGCTAGTTCGAACTAGGAGGGTAATGTAGGCATACCGCACTTGCAAATGAAGCCCGGGATTTGAATTTCCCGGGCTTCAGTTGCATAAGCGGGGCTCCGCCATTTTTAAATCCCCGCTCGTTCGAACCCTGTGCCGCGCGGCTACACGCAGCACGAACTAGGTAGTTCGAACTAGGCTTCCTAGTTCGAACTACCGTTACTCCTCGTGGAATGCCTAGTTCGAACTACCTAGTTTGTGCCGCGTGTAGCCACGCGGCACAGGGTTCGAACGAGCGGGGATTTAAAAATGGCGGAGCCCCGCTTATGCAAATGAAGCCCGGGAAATTGAAATCCCGGGCTTCATTTGCAAGTGCGGTATGCCTACATTACCTCGCTAGTTCGAACTAGCGGGGTAGTATAGACATACCCTAAGGTCCTAGACAATGCAGCGTCAGGAATGCAGCCCTCCAGGCGGTCAAATGCTACATTCACAGGCTCCCCCTACAGAACTAAACATCTCAAATTGGAACCTGTTCAAAATGCTTTTCTGCCTCAGCTCCGCACAAGAAAAGATGCAATTGCAGGAGCAAGTCTTGAAAAATAGCTTGTCATTTAGAAATCTTTTTTATAAAGTCATTGATAATCTACTGCAGTTTTGTCTCCTGGGCCTTAAAACCCAGCTAATACTCTCTGAACATAAAACCTTCAGTCTCAGCCAAATTGAAATTTTCAAGCTTTGCCCTTTGAAGTGAAACTTGAAGTTAATGGCCTGGGCATGCCCCGATACAGGATACGCGGCAACATACCTTGGTTGAATCATAGAAGTTAGAGATGGAAAAGACCTATTAGATCATCTTTTCCATCTCCCTGCCAATGTAGGATTGTTCGCTGCCAATTCAGGATTATTCTCGAATGTTTTCTCCCGTCTAGTTTTAAATGACTCAGGCAACGGGGCTTCCTCCGCTTCTCCTGAGAGGCTGTTCCATAGCTCTAGGAGACCTTACTGTTAGGAAATTTTTCCTGATATTCAGCCTACATTTCCATTTCATCCCCATGCTCCTTCTTATAACTACATTGTATTACTCTTAATGATTCCTCCCTTATTTGGGGTTTGATTATCTAAACTATATAGGTGGTTTCATAAATCCCCACTGGGGAGCATGTTATGGACTAATATATATGCACTACACAAAATATGTGTAATATTATTTCTGTTAATATTCTTAACCTAGATTATTATTTTACTGTAGTGCTGGGACACCCTTTAACATAGGACCTAAATTTCAGTATGTAGATATTGAGGAAGGTATTCTGGAA